GTACCCCTTAAGGGGTGTATTTTCCCCATTAAAGGCTATCAAGGTAGTTTTACAAGGCTTGAGATTTTCTGCATCCAAATTCATTCTTTTAAAAGCATCCCAAATGATGATATCTGACAACTGCCAGCATTTATGAAAATATTTTTAACCCGACAATTCACCAGGGTTCCTATAATAACCAGGCTATCTTCGTGTCTAGGTAGCACACCTTGCATGTCTTCTTTAGTGAAATAAAGTAGAGAATGGTCTAGTTTATTGGGATCTTCCTTGAACTTTGGTCGATCTTTGACTGAAAGTACTTCTCTGAGATACTTTCTTCTTGCACTTACAATATCTCCACCTCCGCCAAGAGCTCTACTAATCATATTACAGTTGAACTCGGCTTCTGAAAATTCATCATTATTAAAATCATCTTTTTTTTCTTTTATCTTCTTTCTTTTTCTTTTCAGGACTGTGCTCTTACTTCTGCTTTGGCCCCTAGATTTCCTCGTTATTTTTCCATCTCTACATCTTGATCACATATTGACACAACTTTCCATCTCTAACAAATTTCTCCACGGCATCTCTGAGGTCCCAGCATTGACCAATAGTATGCCCAGGTCAATTATAAAAAGCACAAAACATGGATCGATCTAAACCTCCTCTGACAAATATAAGTCGCGGTCGTTCCGCTTTCTTCATCTCGGCCATTGTCACTTCCCTTCATATCTGAGATCGTGGCACATTTAATGGAGTATATTTATCGTATCTCCCTACCCAGAATCTGTCATCCAGGTTTCTTCCGCGGGAATCTTTCTTTTGGTTGTTGGGTCATTCTTTTTTCCTTGGAGCTGGACTTTTCCTCTTTGGGCTCATCTTCCTGTTTTCTTCTCCCAATGCATTTTCTATTCCCATTTGCTCAAGCTCCAAGTACTTCTTCGATTGCTTCTGAACTCCTCTAATGTCCTCACAGGATCTTTGTAAATTGATTTGGCCAACCGAGATGCTCCATCTAACCCAGCTACAATCAAATGTACATGGACATTTTCTTGCAAACCCGGGACTTGCAAAGCGGCATCTTTAAATCAGTTCAGGTATTTCTGGAGAGTCTCTCCGGATTGTTGCCGAATTTTTCCAAGTGCAAACTCAGATTTTGGATGCTTCTTGCTTGTTGCAAAGTTCAACAAGAACTTTTCCCCAAGATCTTCAAAGATCCAATCGAATTATCAGGCAGGGTTGAAAGCCATGCCTGCACAGCTCCAGTCAAGGTCGTAGCAAATAACCGGGATATGATAGGCTCATCATTTCCCCGGATGTACATGTTTGTGTCTAAAGCATCTATATGAACTTGTGGGTCCTGACTTCCGTCATATTTCAGCAAGTGCGCCGAGTCAAATTTCTCTAGGAATTGAGCATTAAGTATCTCTCATGTGAAGGGATTATTATTGTACTGCCCCTTACTATACTTCCTTCTATATACACCAGCTTCATCACGTCCCCGGATGTTAAGTGGAGGCTGAGTATCTCGGTTGTGATGGGTATCACCCCGGTTACTCTCCACATTCCTCCCTGCCCTAGCATTCTGGGCAGGAGGCCTAATACTTACATTTTGATTGTTGTCTTGGTTGTAATCTTCAACATTATTGTTGATTTGGACATGGCGGTTTGGGTTTATAGTCACTCCTATGTTTGGTGCTCCTTGGACTTCGGCATCTCCAACCTGAATTGTGTATCACAGTTACGATTTATGTTCTGATTATTGCCACCACGGAGCTGAAGATTTTCTCCTGGGATTTCCCTTCCTTCCCGGATCTGACCTCCATCTTGGCTCACATTCCTCGCCTGCATTAAACGCTGCTCCATCTCTTGCATTCTTATCATATTTTCTTCTTGAAATATTCTGAAATCCTCATGTCGCTGGAGGTTGTTACGATTCTCTATATCCTCCATCCACCTTATGATCGCAACAAATGCGTTCTGGGCAAGACGGGAGTCTGGATCTGCTGCAAGTGCAACGTGGGCAACCGCATCTGCAGGATTCAGGGGAGGAGGATACACAACTCGGTTTTGAGGAGCTGGTGTTGAGGCAGTGTCCGAGACATCATCACTCACATGGATTGCATCATAATCAACCTTATTTTCTGGTCGATTTTGAGGCTGATTTATTTCTTCCAATACAGGATCCAATGGAAGGTTTGGGTGTTGTTGTTGTTGGCTGCTACTTCTTGTACAAACTGCCATTGTTGATTGTGATCATGGGAATAACAAATTTACCGTTTTCCACAGACGGCGCCAGTGTTTTGTCTTAGAGACAGAGATGTCTAGTCCAATGGACTAGTATGTTGCATTTGAATCAAGGTGCCCTCTTTAAGGTATCTATGAATTAGATGCCCTTGAGTCAAGCAGATCACTGTGCACAGAAGAATAATATACGACTTTTGTCAAAGGGATGTATGTGTGTGTACAGTGACAGCATAACAGTAAGAAAGAGAGCATGCTTGCTTATAAATTTTACCTCTTATTTATAAAATTTACCTGTAGATATTGGGTGCTGAACCTTCAGTGCTTCTGCTAATGGCCCAAGCTCAAGTATTATGCTGTCGTATTAGGATTAGTATCCTTGATGGATACCTTTCCTTAATTATATCTGATTTATGCTTGAATTGCTCTTTGTTGGGCTTAACAATAAATGAGCCTCAATATGGATCCATAACAATTTATAAATACATAAACAAAATTATAATATCCGGTCACTTTTCTACTTTCTCGACTTTATCAAATCTTTGTCAAATTGTTTCCTAAATTTCTCTACATTAAGTTCTGTACGATTGTTCAAACAAAGTTTGAGTTCGAGAGGGTTGTTTGTTTGAAAGTGTTATTAAAAAACAAAGTTAATTCATTTTATCCTGAGAGAAAACCGCTATCCACTCATGCACACTATAAAGAAGGAAATTTGTCTTATGTACACTACAAGATTTGAAAACCATTTCTAAATCTTTATTTATGAATAGAATTCTTTGGTAAGACCAACATATATAATAATACTTTTAAATAATTTATTAAAATAAAAATAACTAGTATACAATAACACAGAAAATGAAATATTTGTAAGTTCATCAATAAAAGCCTGCATAAGCGGCTTCTGAAGTTTGATGAGACGTAGTGAGGTTTGTGCTTTATAAAGCAACCTAATATGGCTATATTCATGTAATTTTTTCTGACCATAAAAGCTGCTGCATCTTTTAATACAGTTGTGGTTGTACGTAAATATTCACAAGCATGTTCCTACTGTACATCTTTATCTATACTGACATTGGTAACATGACCAATTTAGGTGGCCTATCAATCAGGATAAGACCCTTATCTTTTCCTTTTTTATACACAAAAAGCCCTTTTCAAATGAACAACTTATTCTTATTATCGTCTTTTCTTCATAATTTAAGTTGTGCCTGATTTTGTATAGTAGATTTGATTTTAAAATATTATATTATTTCTAAAACAAAGGAGTACTGTTTAATAAAAATAAAAATAAATTAACTAATAAAACTTCTAAATTAAGTAATAAAAATTATGAATTATATAATAAATGTATATAATTTTCATGTGTTTATAATTTTTATTGAAAATACTATTCTTATTTTATATAAGATAATTATTTCATGATCTTTTACTTTAAAAATTTTATCTTTTTTTTTTAATAATAGATTCCATTTAACTTTTTTCTATAATATGAGATAATTACTTTTATATAAAATAAGAGTAATGTTCCCTTTTTATTACTCGGTATCAATCTTCAACTTCATTGCTGGACGAGATATGTGTTCGTTGCTCTTTGAAGCAACCTCTTACTTTGGCAATAACCTTTTTAGTTTTGACGATGATTTTTCAACATTTTACACTGACAACTTTATTAATTTTTACCATCAATTTTTTTTTTTTTTTTTGAAAAATTATTCAAATGTAACGAGTTATAGTGCATTAGAAGTGTTCTCCTTGGTTTACCCAAAAAAAAGAAGAAGAAGTGTTCTCATTGCCACAATTTTAATTTTTACCATCAATTTTAATCGTGAGTGACACATAATTTATGGATATGAATGATTTATGAGTCGAATATAAACAATTTTAACTTTATTCTTTAATAGATTATTATGAACTTTTAAGCTAAACAAATTAAGCCGAACAAGTTTATTATAAAATTTGTAACTTTTTTTTAAAGAGAGATTCAAAGTGGATTTTAATAATGAATGATAAAAAAACTTATTTATAAAAAAAATTATATTTATAAATAATATTTTGTGTTAATTTAGTTTTTTAAATGATAATTATTCTGAAAATTCTAAAAGAAGTTTATAAACGTCACAAGTAAAATCAATTCTCTCTACCACAAATAAATAAATAAATAAAAAACCAATTCTATTTGTCTCAAAAGCTACAAATTTCTAATTTTTTTTCAAAATTAATTCAATAACTGCGGAATTTATGAGAAATGATTTCGAAAAATAAAGCAAACATGTTTTTAAATGATGAGCGAAAGAACATTTTTTGCCCCCTATTTTTTACTAAAATTTGATATAAAAAAAGTTAAATAAATAATTATAAATATTTAAATACAATAAAATTTAATTTAAAAATTAATCAACTAAAAAAATAGTTGATTAATTTTTAAATTAAATTTATATTGTGAAATACTAGAGCAAGTCTCTAAATTTTGAACCTGACATCAATTTTATTTTTAAACTTTGGAAATAGCCAATAATCTTTAAAGCTTCTATCTTTATTCAGTTTTATCCCTGAATTGAACTTTAGGACAATATAGTAAAACAGAAATTCTTTAATATGGTCATAATTATTACTATCATGTATTCATTAACAAAACAAAACTACCAATTTTTGCATCATTAGTGTATTAAAAAATAATTAACAACTCGTGCATAAACTGATTTTGGATATCAACCTGATCACAATATAACAAAAAAGACGAAAACATCTTATAAACATATCAATAAATAATCTTAAGGGAATTGAATACGGAAGGTGAACCAGAACAAACTACTTCTCAACTCTAAATTTGAAGACATAAGCGATTATCAACTAAGGAATTATCATGTGCTGGTGGTGTCCTTCTTGGCGTAAAATCTCCTGTACATGGAATCAACTTGGGTGAGATAGAAGGTGCCTGCAGCTAAGTAGCTACAATCCTTGCTTGTCACAAAGTCCTTTGCCCCATAATGGTGCTCCATCAGCTTCATTGTTTCAACAAATTTTTCGGGAGGAAACTGTAGACACAAGTTGATTTTGTTAGAAATAATCAAGTGTGAGTAGTGATGAAGTTTCACATCGATTAGAAATGTTCCGAGTGAATATCATATAAGTGCAAAAAAGACCCATATAACTTGAGTTTTAAGGTTTTGAGTTGAGATGTGGTGTCGGCTCACTTTGTGATGTGTTGCTTGGCCCATTAATAGAGGTATCTTTTGTAAAGGATTTTGGGCTCCACCATATCATTCTCAACAGATTTTGTTAAGTTAGATATAATAAAAGGGGTCAATATTTGATATAATATAAAGGCAATATTCATAGCTTGCCTAAATGCATCATCTGTTACAATGTCAAAACAGTAATGTTACAGCGGCTCCCACTCAATGCATAGGGCTCTTTGACTTGTGAGAATAGGGATGAGGATCGATTGTATGTAGTCTTACCCTTATATTTTTACAAAAGGATTGTTTCCTAGACTTGAATCCATTACCTCCAATCACAAGGTGGTAAGGCCAAAAAAAAGTATGCTATGGTATTCCACTTTGACATGTGAAAAGTATTGATTTATTTCCCATCTCTTTTTAAGATTTCTATACTGGAAGAGCTTAAAATAGCTTCATGAAATGATTCATAAAATTTTGTATTCAGATGTATAAGGTCAAGTGCAACAACTTTAAATATGCACGTCCTACAAATGTTGGGTTCCATATACAATAATCATAGGTGATTAGTTAGTACAAGGTGAGTCCTACGCCACACTTCATTCTACAAACAAAACTGTTGAGAATGGTAATGGGGAGGCCAAACCCTTTACAAAGGATACCTCCATCAATGGCTAAGTGACAAACTACATTAAGTTGGCCGACACCACATCTCAACCCAAAACCTTAATGCTGTAGGTCTATGGATTTTTTGCACTTATATGGTTATTTCACCGCTACTTATACTTAATTATTTCCAACAAAAACTGCCAATGTTATTGTATTTTAAGCATTTTTCATATTATAATCCATTCAACAGAAAATGTTTGAACTTCAAACATTTGTAATCTTGTGTTCAGCTTAAATCATGCATTATCTCAATTTAACATATCTCACCATAATATTATTAATTTATGACAGTTTGTTTCAAATTGCACCATTACTAAAGTCGTTTCAGATGATCAGATCCCTTGTTTAAGAAAATATCAACCCAAGTATGGATTTCTCTAAAATAAACAAATGATTACTTTTAAGATGTCATCATATGACGTAATTAGAATTAGCATGCCCTAAAAAAATCCAATTTTTGTACTATTCTTTAGGTCACCCAGAACAAATTAACCAATATTATAAAAAGCTGTCCTTCCCTTCATTTTATCAATTTTTCTGAATCCACACACAATAAAAGGAAAAGACCTGTATGTATTCTGCATTATACTGTATCAGATAAAAAAACTCAAGACTGTATATATGAAACAAATATTAACGTTCACTTTTCAAACAGTTCTACAATACAAATATCAAGCCCTTCAGTTGTTCAGACTATTATTTTTTCTGTTGCAGAACCATTTACTCCACAGAACTCGATATTTCAGTCTAAGTTCAAAGCAAAGCAGATTCCTAGCGCATGTAGCATAGCCTGGTCTAGGGTCTCTATGGCGGAAAATTCTACAATGCTCCTTGCTATGTTAGGGAGCATGGATGCACAACGTTAGTAATTAGGGAGCATGGATGCACAATGTTTGTGATTTTCAAGTAACCTTGCATTTTTACAGTTTTAGTTTATTTATAAATTAAACCTAAAACTATTGCATTTATCTCTTTAATCTTGTTAGAATATATTAAATATGATTAGTCTGTAATTATTATGATTAGATATGATTAGTCTGTAATTAATTCTGATTGTATTAGGTTTGTATTAGGTCTGGGCCTTTCACTTAAGCCCATTAGAGTCTCTATATATTGTAACCCTCTAAATTAGATCAATACACAACATATTATTTTATATTCAAGTTGGTATCAGAGCTCTTTTGTTCTGAGGACCCTCGCTTTCGCTTAGAAACCTTGTTTTTGCTTTAAAACCTAAACCCACTGCTTAGGAGTCCTCTTTCTTTGCCGTGCGTCCTTCTGGCAAGCCATCTAGGGCTGTAAACAGCTTCTGAGTAATTTTCCAAACGCGTCAGCACCGTCGACGGCCACCGGAACCACCGTCCGCCACTAGGACCACTGTTCAGGCCACCGGAGACGTTTTTCCGGCGACTTTTCAGACCAGACGTCACGCGATCAGGACCGTCTCCTCCCGGCGATCAAGTCTGTGGAGGTCCGGTCACCAACGCATCCCTCACGCGCCGCCCACCTCCTCTGCGCGTGGGCCTCACGCGCCACCTTCTACCGGCGCGTGTGCACTACTCCGGTGGCTTTTTCCGGCCGGTCCTGGACAGAGAAGCTCGCCTTCTCCTCCCCTTTCTAGATCTGTGATTGTTTCTCTGTGGGTCTGACTTTAGACGCGTGGTTCTCCTTGATTGGATATCGTTTGCCTTCGTTTACGGCTTTTATATTTTATCTTTAAATGACAGCAGCATCTCCTGATCTCTCGGAGGTTAACTCTCCTTCTATTGGTTGTCGCTGGGTTTTTACTGTGAAAGTTGGACCTGATGGCCATATTGATCGTCTCAAGGCACGTTTAGTTGCCAAGGGTTTTACTCAAATCTTTGGCCTTGATTATAGCGATACATTTTCTCCGGTCGCTAAGATGGCGTCAGTCCGCCTCTTTCTTGCCCTTGCTGCTGTTCGTCACTGGCCACTCCTTCAACTTGACATCAAAAATGCCTTTCTTCATGGTGATTTACAAGAAGTTTACATGGAGCAACCACCTGGTTTTGTTGCTCAGGGGGAGTCTGGAAAGGTGTGTCGTCTTCGGAAATCCTTATATGGTCTCAAGCAGTCTCCTCGAGCATGGTTCAGTCGCTTCAGTTCTGCTATTCAGGCGTTTGGCTTAATCCGCAGTAAAGTTGACCATTCTGTGTTTTATAGGATTACATCTCCTGATAAGTGTATCTATTTGTTAGTCTATGTTGACAACATCATTCTCACCGGAAGTGATCAAGACGGAATTCGTCAGTTAAAATAGCATTTGTTTAGTACATTTCAAACAAAGGACCTTGGGAAGCTGCGTTACTTCTTGGGAATTGAGGTGGCGCAATCCAGACAGGGCATTTCTATCTGTCAAAGGAAATATGCCTTGGATATCCTAGAAGAAACTGGTATGTTGGGGAGTAAACCAGTTGATACACCTATGGATCCTAATGTCAAGTTATTGCCCGGATAGGGGGAGCCGTTATTTGATCCTGGACGTTATCGGAGGCTAATTGGGAAGCTCAACTATCTTACTGTGACTAGGCCAGATATTTCTTTCGCTGTTAGTACGGCTAGTCCGTTTCTTGATTCCCCTTGTGATTCACATTGGGATGCTGCTGTGAGGATCCTCCGATACATCAAAGGAGCACCAGGAAAAGGTTTGTTGTATTCAGATCAGGGAAATACAGAAATTTGTGGTTATTCAGATGCTGATTGGGCAGGATCACTCTCGGACAGGCGCTCTACTTCTAGCTATTGTGTCTTCTTTGGAGGAAACTTAATTTCGTGGAAGAGCAAGAAACAACCTGTTGTTGCTCGATCTAGTGCAGAAGCTGAGTATCGTGCAATGACAAATGCTACCAGTGAGTTAGTCTGGTTAAAGCAGTTGATTCAGGAGCTTCATCTTTGTGAACAGAAACAACCCATGACACTCATCTGTGATAATCAAGCTGCGCTACATATATCCTCTAATCCTGTCATTCATGAGAGGACCAAACATATAGAGATTGATTGTCACTTCATTCAAGAAAAGATTCAGTCAGGAGAAATCAAGACTGCTTTCGTCAACTCCTCTGATCAACTAGCGGATGTCTTCACTAAAGCTCTTAGAGGTCCTCGGGTTCAATATATTTGTTACAAGCTTGGTGCTCACAATATATACGCACCAGCTTGAGGGGGAGTGTTAGAATATATTAAATATGATTAGATATGATTAGTCTGTAATTATTATGATTAGTCTGTAATTAATTCTGATTCTATTAGGTTTGTATTAGGTCTGGGCCTTTCACTTAAGCCCATTAGAGTCCCTATATATTGTAACCCTCTAAATTAGGTCAATACACAACATATTATTTTATATTCAAGTAATCTCATTCCCTTCTTCTACCACCATCATTCTTGCGGATGAACCCATGGATTCAGTGCTATAGAAGCTAACATCAACACTAGTGGAGCTGATTTATGTACCCCGGAAAATGGAATCCAATGTTTGGTTTTAATAACATCAAATTGCACTGTTGTGTGGCCTTGTGAAAATCATACTTGACAGGTTTGCTAGCATTTAGAACAACAAAACCAGAAACCCCTTGAACCCAAATGATGCCATCGTCTTCCTCCATAACCAATCCTTGTCTTTGCTTCACATTCACCTTCTGATAAGAACCTTGGATGCACCACCCCAAAAACTAGCTTAAAATGTGAGAGTGCCCAAGGCCTTATAAGCCCATACAACCAATGTGGGACTCCAAATCTCATACCTTGCAAATGGGTCCTAACACCTTCACTATCATCCTCTTCTTTCTCACTCTCATCTCTGATTCTCACCGCACCATTTGAGTTTTAGCATGGTTTGATCATGTAGTTGTGTTTAGTTTAATTTGTTTTTTCAATGATTCTTTGTTTGAGTTTGGTCGTTGTTTCTGCTGGTGCCATTGTTTTGAGCTGGCTCATTAAGTACTAATCGTGGAATGCAAAGAATGAGGGCTGGTACACTTCTTAGAGAGCTCTTTGATAATAATTGAAGGAAATTTCCTAGACACTAGGTTGAACCATTGGGGATTGCAGAAGGAAGCGGTGTGCCACTTATTGATGTAACAGCTCTTGGAGTAAAACTGTCATTTCTTGCTGGAAGAAAATGCAACTGTAACATAATTACCATCTAATTGTTTATGTCCAAATAATTACTCATCAGCTTCAGAAAGGAGATTCTTGCATGGCATTGGTGACACAAGAATGAGGTCAATCTTTGGTGGACTTAAGGACTTAAAGGTTGCCAGGGGAAGATATATTCCAGGTGTGGGGTTTTTTAGCAAAACTCCAATCCTAACTTCCGTTTCTTTAGGGTAATACTAGTAATTATTCACTTTTGCACCTCTCCTGCTAAACAAGTTGCAGGTCATGCTTGATAGCCATTGATTTAATGTCACACTTATCTATTTAGATACAAGGTGCATCCATGCACCTTAACTTCAGAAGGTGCATGTCAGACGTCACCCTGTATGCCTAGTTTCTTACATGGTTAGGCCAGAATACAATAATCATCAGATTTATAACTTATTAAGTGGTTAAAGACGGCATACCTCAAATCTCTGGTTCAACTTGCCCGAAAGATTCATCACCGTTACAATGTTTGACAAAGTAAAGGGATGTTGACCTTCTTGAAGGTGGAAGGAGAACATTGTAGCTGTTAAACCACTTCCATATGAGAACATAACTACCCGGTTACCGGCCTGCACATTGAAAGACAATCCTGATGAGAAATTTAGAATCAGCCATTGTCTATGGGAAAGATGTAGTCACAGAGACAGAGAAGGTAAACTTAACAAAGAATTGAAGTGTGGAAAACCTTACCAGCGAGCTGTGCTTATTGTGAAGGAGAGATACAAATGCTGCATAAAGCGATGCAGTGTACATGTTACCAACTTGTTTTGGGATTATTGTGCTGGGCTGCACTTTCACATCATATAAATGTTTTGCAGCTTGCTGGTTTGCCTATAGAATCAAAATGACCACAAACAATCTATGAGTTCCATTTCTAGCAATCTTTTTAGTCAATTAACATGATTCAAACTCAACAACATTAGCTACCTTTTCAAGATCACGACTTTGATAGCTCTCATCACTAGATAAGGATGTATAAGGTGCTAGGGTTTTCCTGGCATCTTCATCAACAAAACTGGCACAGAATAAGAAATGCAGGAAAAAAATAAATCATAAACTAGGACTTGAAGACATTAATTAAAAACCAAGTAGTTTTTTTTATGCTTCCTTTATTTCAGTTTTCTGATATCTATTAGTGCTTAATAAAAAAAATACCGTACAGAATATGATGTAATCTAACGTTGCATTTGATTAAACAAAGAGGTAACTAATGAAGAAATTTCAAGCTTCATTGATCTTTCCTCTTTTTCTGGTAAGTACTTGTAAATCTTACGGAAAAGTTAGACTAGCATAATCAATTGAAATCTCAAGTGCATAGCATCTACTTGCTTATTACTACAATAATATCCAAGAGGTAAACTAATAACTATTCAATCAAAAGGGTCGATAGCATTCTATAGCTTGGCACCTTGAAGTGAAAATGAATCGAAAATAGGATATGGCTAAAGCAGAATATACACAAACCTGGGATTTCTCAGAAAGTCATTGAAGTATAGCCGACTAAAACTTTTCTGCACTAGCTGCAACACATCAAGAAAACAGTTATGGAGATAGTCGTGGCAGGCAGTGTTATGACATACTTCTCAGCGCTTTTTTGTTTTTATTCCAAATATAAAGAAATTATTCCAACATGGTTAAAACATAAAGTTTATGATTACCTTGTTATATGGAGAATGAAACACAAAATAATCAGAATCTGATATTGAAAAGGGCCTCCCCTCCAATTTTTCAAATCTGTACATGGAAGAACATTTAACGAGAATTTGGAACCAAAAAGGAAAATTCAAAAAGGCTTTTTTGGTTCTGTCAATGCTTACTTCTCACAAAAAAGCTTATAGCAGGAATCAAGTGCCATGAGATAACAGGTCTGCGAGAGCTTTCCATCAACAACCTATAGCAGGAAAAGTACAAAAAAAGGTCTTAACCAATGTGAGTTGAATTCTCAGTAGTTTGACAGAATGCATCAACATGCATTTAAGCATAACAGTAATGATATATGAAAACCTAAGATTAAAATCTAAATACATTTAAGTATTGTCAATCTAATTCATTTGAGCAAACTGAGATAAATTACTTGAACAAAATTCAATTAAGTGAAAATATTTAGAGCCATTTAAGATATAGAATACCACTAAAAATCAGTTATAGTTAGATTAGCTGCTCTATAAAAAACCCATGGTTGAGTATATGGATTTTATAATTTGATGCAACCAGTGTCCAGGGGAAGAGGGTGGGGAAAGGATCCTGTTAACCCATATTAGACAATAAAGAGTGGGCCAGTGAATGCGGCTCCACCATTGAAATGAGACTGGGTAAAGACATTATTTGCTTTTGTTCATAAAGCTAAAGAAAAAGTGTCTTCCTAGTACATCCTTTTTCAATTACCGTTCTCCTTGTTTTTATTCTTCAATATTTCAAAAATAAAAATAAAATTTGAACACAAAACAATGAAATAAAGGTAATACTGAACATTGGAATATCTTCACCATGGATAATAAGAGAAGTTGATCTTAATGTAAGAACAAAAGTACTTATAAAGTTATAATGAAAGTAAAATTAATAGGGAGGAGGTAAAAATGCATTACCGGGTATTCACTTGCAAGATTTGGCTTGTAAAAATCATACGCATGAGCCATGTGACTGCCTCTTAATTTGCTTTCAAAAGCAATAGGAGCATCTGGCCCTACAAGCATGGCAATTGCAGCTGCTCCTCCAGTAGGACGAGCAGGTCCTTCAGCATATACCTGAACCAAGAAAGTCATAGGTTAGAAAATTGTTTGACACTGTACATGTATGTATCTACTATTGGATTCATTATTTGTATAGAATGGAAAAGAAGTATAATAGTAGTAAAAGTAGAACAAATGATGAGTACATATCCAAAATAAGATATTCGTTACATGGTTTCTACTAAAAGCCATGTCTTGGGAAGTTAACTTCGAATGAAATTCAATTAAAAACTTGTACGTTATATAGCTCAGTATAGCTTCTGCAGTTTGTATTTTGTTGTTTCATTAATAATGGATTTCATGGGGTGTGGTTTTTTTGTTAAAAATGGATTTCTCTCATTCATAATTCAAGAGGAAATTATATTATTCTAGCTGATGATGAGCTTCCAAACTTGCTATGTATTAAGGGTCAAAATGAGCATGTAATTAATCTAAATGTAACCAAAAGACATGAGAATTGTAATTAAATTGTTAACTCACTCTCAGGAGTATTTTCATGAAATTATTGTGTTTTTGTAGGGATTTTGACACATTGGAAAAAGCTCAAAGTTGAAAGCTCCAGAAGAAAGAAGTGAGAGAATCAAGCAAGCAAGAGCCAGCAATTTCACCTTCATTGTCTCACGGCGCCAGTAGCGCCAACAATGATGCTAGAAGCGCCAAACTCAATTTGATCATTGTCTCGCCGCGCTAGCAGTGCCAACAGCATCATACCCTCTGCCTCACAGCACTGGTAGCTCCATGGTCATTTGAAGCACACTGTTTTATGGTGCAAGTAGCGTCAGGTGGCGCTACTCGCGCCAGCATTCATGGTTTTGGATTTATTTGAAGATTGAGTCATATCTAATGAGTAGGTGATTGATGATTTGGTGGAGATTTTTAGGAAGTTTTCCCTTGGATATAAAAAGGAGCTTTTGGAAACCCTGATTCGTTCTGCACGTATTGGAGACGAAGAAAGACCAGAGATTTCAGAGAAAAGAGACCGAGAAGGAGATTGAAGGGAGATCGAAGCGGAACCGTGGAGATCAACCATCATTCTTCCCCCAGAGATTTCATCTATTTTCTTTTCCTTCTTTGCTTTGTTTAAGCCAGATATATCTAGCTAAGTTTCTTTGTAGTTAGGGAGATGGATCCTACGTGAATCCTTGTTTTGATTTAATTTTTTTTCAATAATAATCTGTATCAAATTGTTTGGGTTTACCTTGATTTGCATGTTCAAATTCTTGTATGACTTGATTAACCATATAGGAATAAAGAGAGTTAAGGTTCACAATAGACATATTAAGATCTTAATCTAGACAGAGGTAGAACACAAATTCTTGCATGTTCTAGACACAGACTTGTAGGAGTTGCAAACTTGTGTAATTCATCGCGCTTAAGGCTAACCTAAAAGGGGTTTCTAAGACATTAAGATTCCAATTAGGTTAAAGGGTTAAATAACTAAGATATTAGGATTTAACCAACCAATTCTTCGATGATGAATTGTTTGAAACAATAGAGATAGAGATTCATTGAATTGAATTGACTTAAATAAATTAAGGGGGATCGGAGGTGAAGTAAACCCTAACTGTGTTTCCATTTTTGATTTTAAACCCATCTTTTAATTATCTGAACTTTTTTCTTTGCATTTGGTTATCACTTGGCATTTGTTCTTTGTTTTATTTAATTGGCTTTTCATTAATTAAAAATTACTCTTCCCAATCAATCTATGATTTGCCCAAATTAAATGAAATAGTAAAAATTGTGTTTGGAGTTCCTAATCCTCGTGGGAACGACAACTTTTCTCATCGCTTTATTACTTTTGCGACCGATATACTTGTCGTGAGCGCAACACTAGCCAACAAGAAGTTCAATTTGGATAAAACAACTTTCTTGTACTCAACTAATTAATCTCCCTACAATATTTTCATGTGATGGAGATATCTTGAACTTCTACTGTTATAACAAGAAATATAAGTGGTGGGGCTGTGCCACAGTAAAATCATGAGCAACACAACCTAAGATGGTGAAGCTAGGTGATGGGCCTAAAAGTGAGTGGGCCAGTTAATTAATTATTCTAGAATATTCTGTGGGTAGAATAAAAGGTGAGTGAGTGTGTGTAGTGAGGTATGCATGTATTCAATTCTGATTTAGTGGGAAAATTGAGAGACTTCTAGGGAACTCTTGAGCCTAGGTATTTGGTTTGAGGGAGAGTTGAGGTTTCTTGGGATTTATTTTCTGCATATTAGTGTATGTAAAAGAGGCATGGCCTCCATTTTCTCTATAATTTCAGTGTTATTTTTCTGGTTCCATCACTAGGAAAGGTCAAGACTGCAAATTCTAATTTTCTTTAACTAGAAATTTATGGAGTTTTAAGTTCTGGCACATGCATCTGGAGCAGGAGTTTACTAAAAGGCAACACATATGACTCAAGTGCCACAATGCCACATATTACTAAAAGTCCGTAGTATGTGAAATCTTTTAAAATATTGGTTGAAGTCCACAAAATAGTATTGAGAGGTACTTAAATTTGCATCTCAGTGTAAATATCTTCGATGCTAGAGTTGGTCAGAGGCTCTAAAACAAACGTACAATTATGTCTCACATAAAAAACCACTCCTCATTTAATCTCGATTAGCGAGGTAGGGTTGAGGGTAATCCTATTATGCAACCTTACCCTTACATATTTTCGAAGAGGTTTTTCTTGGATTTGAGCTGTGATCTCTCAGTCACAAGGGAGCAATTTTACCACTGCTTCAAACTCGCCCTCTTTTATGTCTCACATAAAATTGGATTTAAAAAAAATGAACAACCATCTTCCTTATGCATGAAGTAGTAAATCTCAAAATCTGTAGCAAAAGAAAGGAGGCCGAGAAACATTCATGTTTGCTAAGAGCTCATACCGCACTGTCTGTACATACAACAAGTCCATAGCGTCCATCCCATGAAGTACTTTCCACCCAATTCACGCAATTGAACAAAGCTGCTGTTCCACCATAGCACGCATTTGTTGAATCAACACCTTCAATATCACCATTACCACTCTCCTGGTTGTTACATGAGTTAATATAAGATGCAGATATCACATAAGAACATATATAAATTTCTTTCCCTTTGAATTTTGACTCATCTATAAGTTCAGAAAATAATAAATTGGATAGCAATTTAAAAATCCTACATCAGAAAACATCTCTTTTGTACCTTTTGCCTCAAATAAGTATTGACACAAAAGAAGAGATTAAATCCAGTCACACTCGTGATTATCCCAGAAGACGGGAGGGAATAAAGGATGCTACTCCGAGTGTAAAGCAAGCATAAAGCTCTAGAATCTAATAATCTTATAGACTGAGAGTTAACACCATAACAGAGAATGACATACCTCAAAAACTTGCATCAGGAAGGTCTTAATGGATTTGCTTTTGTCAATGACAGTTTCACTCCCAACCTCCAAGCGTCCAATTTGCTTTGGATCAATTTTAAATTTTTCAAGAAGGGAAGTAACAACCGTCAAGCTGCAAATTCAAAGTTTTATAAAAATAAAAATAAAAAATGATTAAAATAAGTGCAGGAAAGCTATTGCAGCTGCATCATACAAGTCCAGAACACTGAGTAGCTTCATTGATCAACTAAAAAGCATGAATGAGTGCCCAAAACAAAAAAATTAACAATAATCAATAATAAAAATAGTATTAGAATTATCAGAAGAAATTCCTTGTAAATGGTACCCAAACCTATATTTGCTTATCACTCTCCAACATCGTTAGATCAGAATTTCAATAGGAGACAAAAATGATAAAGGTAGTTGAGATTTTGATGTAATGATGTTGAAGAGTGATAGATAGGAAAAGAGGTACGTAGAATAACCTATCTCTAAAATATATATTTTATTTTTCTTGCACGACCCATTAATGCTCTAAGCAAATTATTAATTAAAAAAATAATAATAAATTAGGAAATGGTTATGCAAAATTGTAATTGACCTCATTGAGATAACATCTTCAACCTCAGTGCAGAATGCCAAGCAATCTTGTCCAAGCCCAATAGTGTACTTCCCTTCACTCACCCCATCATGAGCTTCCAAAGCTTCCTGCAGAATAAAAAAAAAGGAAAACACCAAAAAAATTTAAAATAAAACTAAAAATCGCAGCTTTAAAGTAAAAAACAAAAACCCCAATAAAAAATGAAAATAAACTCAAACTCTAGAGAGATCTACGAAATGAAGAGGATTGAGGAACCTGCTGGACGCAGGTGGGAGGGAAGTAGATGTCCATGGCGATGATTCCGACATTCTGAGGGTGTAAAGAGGCCATGGGAGGTGAAACACCGAGGATTTTCCCTCACTTTCTGGCTTTTTTTTCTTTTGCGACTTGTTTGGATGCCGAGAAAGTAGCAAAAATTCAGTGAGTGAGTAGTAGTAGTAGTAGTAGTATGTATGAGTAAGGAGTAGGTGGTGGAATGGAAAGTGTTTTGCGTGGTAGATTTGGGACTTCCTTCCCAACTAACCCCTTTTTTTTTGGCGGAAATTCCAATGGGTGTTTGAATGGAATGAATAATGAGTTAAAAAAAAAATCAAAATATTATTGTCATTTAAAATGTAGATTTTTTTTTTCTTTGAATATATCCACCCGTTCGTTCGTGGATCACCCCGTTAAGTACGTTTATAGCATTGTTCAACCGCGATAATCAGTCTAGGAAGCAAAAATTATTTGATCCAATCCCTTCGGTTTGATTATATAACCATTCATTCGGTTTGGATTTTTTTTCAAATTCGATCCGATCCAATCCAATATTTTTCGGTTTGGATTAGATCGATTTTCGATTTTTTGAAAATCCTAAAATTAAGTTTCATGGTTATTATGCAAATAATATCTTTTGTATATATTGACTTTGTAAATTTTTTTTTTTTGAAATACAAAAGCATCATTAAATGATAATATAGTTTTTTTTTGGTAATGAGATAAGAAGCTCTACACAGATAAAATTTTGTTGATAAGACGTGACTAGATTTTTTCTTGGGTTTAGTTGATGAGTTAATGAATATTGGATTTATAAATTATTGAGTTATGATTAGGAAAAGACTCAAATAGGTTGAGGAAAATTAATATATTGACGGTTTGGATTGGATCGGTTTTTATCAACCAATCCAAAAATCGATCCAATCCAATTAAAATTTGCGATTTTTTTTTAGTTTTTGATTTTTCGATTTTCAATTTATTCGATTATCGATTTTTCAATCGTCACCACGGTTTGAATTGATTTGGATTGGTTGATCAACCCATTGAACCCATTATATTATAGGGTTAAAAGGGGTAGCTGTCCTAAGACCACCTTTTTCATTATTAGAACTCAAAGTCGAGATAAGGGTCCTTCCTTACCACTTAAATTAATGATTATTTAGTTTTGATGTATTATTTTTTAATAGAAAAATAAGAAAGAAATTAAGTAAAATACACATGTGATTTGAATATAGGAGTAGGTGATTTTGCATTATTAAATGGGCATTACTTTTCAGCAGCAGATAAAAATATCTGTCTGAGACCAAAAAAAAAAAATTCACAAATTTTATTTAAAGAAAAAAAATTATTAGAATGTGGTATCCATTTTCTCTTTCTCTCATTTTTTGTGTCTGTAGTCAATATCGTCAAAATTGAGTTTCTATGTACAGATAAAAGGAAATGATAGAAACATAAATCATAGAAACGACATGAAACATAAAAATTTTATTACTTAAGGTCAAGATACAAAATCATATATATATATGCATGTAAAAAAAATATCACATAAGTCACTACTCAAAATTTAATAAATAACTTCATATTTAAAAGATATAAGTCACTTAACTATATAAGACATAAGTCCAAAAATACAAAAAGTGTTTAACAACGACTATAACGAAGTTCCACAACATCAAAAGAATAAAGTTTAACAACTCTTAAATAGAAATACAGCGGCCTCACTTTAGGATTTTTTTTTTAAATAGCTAGAAGAAGATATTGTGCATTTGATTTGGAGAAATGAAAATAGGTTTTTTTATTTTATTTTATTAAAAATATAAAAATAAAATCAATCATTGGTTAAAAGTTGACCTGGTTTGATTTTTTGGTTTAAGTAAAAACTTTAAAACTTGTGTTTCTACCGTTTTTACGTTTTTACACGTAAATTTTATCATTTTTTACTAAGGAGAGTTTTTACTTGCGTTTTAAGACGTATCACCTTAGTAAAAACGTGAAAATGTAAGATTTTACATTTTTACACTAATTTTTAACAACAATGTCTGTAGCACACAAATTATTTCTACCAGTAGAAATAATTTTGCCTTAATAAATATAATTTTACATAAAGGATATAAAAGGGATATCAATTTTAATATATGGTAAAAAAATTGATAGTAAAGATAGTTAAGAAAGTGTTAATGATTGGATCAAAAACTACCCAACTAGCAATTTTTAATAGTGGAAAATTGAGATAATGTTTCTTAGTCTTCTTCGGCGATATTAGAAGGGTGGTTCATTCTTTCCCCATATTGATCTTCCAAGTGCACGAGTTTTCCATGTATTTTAGTTATGATAGTAACGATTTGGATCTTTGAGGGGTACACTTTACAAAATAAAGTGCATAATTAATATATGTTGATGAAAAAAGTGAACCAATTAGAATTTTATAAAACACAAATCATGAATATATTAGAATTAACTTTCTTAATACTTTTCATCAACAATTAACACTTCACTTTCCTCTCAAAAGTATACTCCTGGATGGACTTAAAAGGGTGTGCTTTTTTTTTCCCCTTGAACTAAATTTTGCATTCAACTTTCTTGCTGTAATTTACCCTTTAAGGGGGTGTTTGGTTGAAGATAAATTTTAAGAATACTAGAGAAATGTAATTACTAGGTATCTACAGAGAAAGTTAAATAGATGAGGAAGTTAAAAAAAAGTAGTTTGGTTTGACGAAATTTTACCAGAGAAATATATGACAAAAAGTGTGTCAACAGTGCTTTACCCGAGTTTTCTCAAAAAATCACCCTCAAATCGGGTTTTTAAACGGTGCAAATTACTATCTTTCTCAAAAAGCTATGCATTTCACATAGATGGACTTTGGTCAAAAGCTATTGAACCAAACATTGGTTTTCTAAAAACCAAACTTCATTTACCTAGTAAAATCTCAAAAAGCATGAAACCAAACGCCCCTCAATCTTATGGAACTGCCAGAATGCTTATGCAAGGACAATACAAATAAAGGAAAGAAGTGAAAAGAAAAGGAAGTATATTTGACACAATGAATTATCAACAGTTTCTGAATTCATCAGACAAATGAATGAATAGTGTGTAATACACTTTTCCTAGGAGAATCAAATTTCCATATACATCAAATTTTCAGCCAAATTCACACTATAATAGACCCTTCTTAGATCAATAATCCAGAACAACAAAAGAAAATTTTATGGAATCAAACTTCAATTGTTTTCTGATTGAGAGCAGTATATCTCCACCTCTCCTTCTCCACAAAGTCAGCATCAAGGAAACGAGCAACAAAAGCCCAAAGTTTATAGATATCTTCAAAATCAGCAAGGAAGCCTAGTGCAGCAGTAACCACAGTTATTCCAACTTTATCTCTATCTTTCTTATTGCCTGTCACTCCTTGGACTCCAACTACTTTGGTCTCTAGGACTCTTCCCTTTTCTTCTGCATACTTATCTGCAAACCAGATATGATGCAAGAATCCATAGCTGATAGAAATATTGCTTCTATCAGCAAGTTTCTGAACAAGAACAGGCTCAACCTTTTCACCTTTCCAATCAAATATATTGAATGCCAAAGCAGGTCCCCTATCAAATTTCACTTTTGGTCCATATATCTTAACCAATGGAACCCCTTCTGTGTTAGGATGCTTAAGCTTCAACATTGACATTACCAGCCAATTTATAAGGTACCTTGCCCTATTAGTGATAAGTATCAATCCTAAAGAATCCACTTGATCTAAGCACTTGCATTCAATATCAAAGCTCTCATTCTTACTTCCTTGGACATTCTTTTTTTTAAGATTCTGAAATGGCTTTTGTACCTCCTCAATTTTATACCCTTGAGGAGCTTTTGACTCTGCAGGTGTCTCTATGATCTGAAGCTCAGATGGTTCTCCTTCTTCAACTTTTTCAGATTGTGTGGTTTGTATAGGACTAGAGAAAGATATAGAAAATAATTCGTCTTCATGTGAGCTAGGTAGTGATTTTTGTTCAAGTTCTAAGTCAGTATCAGAAGAATCCTCTGATAGATGCTTATGTGGCTGCTTTTCTGGTACAAGGTTCACAATTCCTGCACAAGAGGAGGCTTCCAAACTGGAAATAGCAGATTTCTTGATAAAAAGGCATCCAAATCCAGATGGGTTTTCTCCAAAGACCTTATAGAAAGAACAAATTAGAAAGTCTGGTTGAAAGAGAGAGAGGCCAAAACAGTCCATGTCTTTTGGTCCCAAAGCACAAGCATCAACCAATACATGCCACCCATTCTCTTGTGCTATGCTCATCCAAATATAAGGATATCTAGATCCTGTTACTGTAGAATGAAGTGGGAGAACAAAAAGGCCCTTCTTTTTCTTCTTCTTTCTCTTACTTACAATCATCATCTTTCTCAATTTTGTTGTCTGAATCCTAAGCCTTGGCCATGAGAACTCTGCTGACATAGCCTTTGCTCCTCTCTTCTCTGAACAACTAATCATTGCTTCCACAGCCTCACTCTCATAGTCATAAACTGTCAGAAGCTTCCTACTAGATTGGAATTGGTAGGAATCAGCCACAAGTTTAAAAGCTGATGTTCTATTTGCTGTGAAAACCATGAAATAATCATTTTCACATATGTTAAGGAAACCCATGATTCTTTTTCTCATTGCAGACTCAAATTCTGACTCATGTCCACCATGAAGCAACAAAGTCTTCAGACTCCCAGTCTTGCAGGACATACTAAAGGAGGGAATATCTGAATATTGGGGTGTTTGAGGAACTGAAGAGGATGCAAATTGGACTTTTGAAGCATCATGGTGTTGTAGTTGAGAGTAGGAGAAGAGGCCAATACCAATATAATCAAGACAAGTATGGTTGGAGACTGAGAGATGGTAATATTCATTGGCTCTAACGTGGTCAACTTGTTCAGTCTCAGAATACTGAGGGTACACTCTGTTGAATTCATTGAATGATTCCTGCAAAGATGGAAGAGATTCATGGTTAGTGAATTGTGTACTTGGGAAGATAGAGGATGTTGTTGTAGCTGCAAAGGTGTGGCGACACTCAGCAGAACTGTTTCTTGGTTTTGCTATTGTGTTATGTGATGTTGGTGAGTTGAAAAATGGGGTTGTGCAACAACATGGAGAGCATGCTTGAGAGGCATCATTTTGGTCAAGGGTCTGCATTTTTTTAAGTTCCTTCTATGCTTTAAGGCATGTTTGGTTTATATGTATCAGTTTGACATTTCTCCAGCTATTGGATATCTTGTTTTCTGCCATTCGGCACATAAGAAAAGAACATACAGAAAAATACAGAATCTCTCTCTCTCTTTTGGTTTATAATTTTCTTTTTGATTGAATGTAGGTGGCTGATACGGCATGGTGTGAACGATTGAAAAGGTCAGGTAGCACAATTTGGACTTGGTCATCCGTAGTTTACTATGTTGACCGGTTAATAATATTTCCCACTGGTCAATAAATTTGAACCATACGACTTAGTTTAATGGTGATGGTGTATACTTCAGAAATTTCCTTTCTCATTCTTAATTCTTAGTTTATTAAAGAATAAATAAATTTTTTTTATTCTATAATCTTAATTATTCCTTTGAAGCGAGTCAAGTCCCCGAATATCTTCACGATTTGAGTAAAAAAAAGGGTAAAATGTGTGTCATTTTAAAGGATGTAAAGTTATGTCATTTTAAGTGAAAGAAAGAGATAAATCATGAAGGAGAGAGTGGATAAAAAAAGTGTGAGTCCCACCTCTTTGCGAGAATAAAATAATACAAATTATCGTTTAAAAGGATAAACACTTTTAAAATAAAAATAGATCTACAGAAGTACGAGACTAATTTAGAATCCGGCTATGTGACAATTATCCATTAAATTTCTTGTTGCAAGTTATTCTGAATAGCCCCTATTTGAATGGCCCAATGATTTGGGCTCAAGCCCTTTCCATCTCCACGTCAGCCCAGCTGACCAATAACCACCAACCCTCCATCATTTTTGTCCCCTAAGCGACTGCGCCCCCAGGTGAAACACCAAAATGTCTCATCTTGGAATGCCAACCCTGGAGTAAACCGCCTCAGTTATCATAAATAGTAACTTCCTTCTCAGAGGGAGCAGCAGACGCAGCTATCTCTGATATAGCGTCTGCACCCCTGCACCCACAGCAATGTCAGTCACCCATAATACTCCCGAGGAGGGTTGACCCTCCTCTCACCTACTCACTCCAGCCAAATACGCTTCCCCCATATAAATACCCCCTTCAAGACCAGAGAAAGACATCTTATATATCGTTACCTTGTTAGTTTATAAGCCTAGAACCATACACATCTCCCCCCCCCCATTTATCAGATAGCATAAGTCGTACTTGGAATAGTGCTGCCTAGTTTGGTCTCTATTTATGCTAGTGGTATCATCCATATAGTGATCTTCATCCCTAAAGGGAATATATTGGGCTTATAGATGCCAACGGTACACAAATAATTGAAATGTTTGACAATTTGTGGTTCTCCCTCTCTCTCCATTCTTATTTTTTTTCTTCTATTTGGTTGTCTGATTCGTGCATTTTAATAAATTATTACAAATGAGCATTTCTAATTTCAGAAAACCATGAATTTGAAATACTTACTGATGAAAGAATTTTGTGTGGCTGACGAAATATAAGTCATGGTCATACATCTAATACCGTAGACCAAACAAAACAAAATTGCGCTCTATAAGTCATGGTCATACTTTGAAAATCATTTTTTTATATTTATTTTAATAAAAAGAAACATAACTAATGTACATAATGATTAAACCGAAAGAAACAGTTTATCAAAAAAAAAAAAAAAAAACTGAAAGAAACACATTAAACTATCAAAATACACAAAAATCAAGTAAACAAAAAAGGCAAAAAAATGGACAAGAATCATCTTATTTTTAAAAGTAAAAAGGTATATAGTTTTTATTTAATTTAAAATATATTAAATTTTTATTTATTAACATTTAAAAATAAATATATTCTTGATTGCTCTCTTTAAAAATAAGCTCATTGTAACAATGTAACTCTTTTTCCAGAAAGATTAATCGGGTACCAACAAAACTCGGCATAATTGGTAGATAGTTGAGTCTCTTAAGTATACTGGTAAATGTTCGATTTCTGACTGTGTGTATGAAAAAGATTTTATTGATATAAACAAAACTCACTTCAGTGATCTCTACAGGGATTAATCTTCAGCTGTCAGCTGGAGGATACCGTCACTGCAGATAAAATTATCTCCGGTGAGCCCAAAATAATGTCGTTTTGAAGTTATAAGATTAAAAAATTATAATAATAAAGACTAATATAACCCTGCAATAAATTAGAATTATAAAAATATCTTGATTTCTATCACAAAATGACATCATACCGGAATAACTTATCTTCATTATCTTCAGAAATCCTTTATCCAAAAAAACAAATAGTGTTTCTCATTTTATATAAGATAAATTTATTTTCTGTATACATATAAAAGTATATGTGGTTCATATTTTTTTTCTTCTCTTTTTTCTGCTTATATATATCCCACACATTTTTATGCATAGATAAATTTATCTTTTAGAACATGAGAAAATTAAATAAAAAAAAAACACATTAAAATGGTCGTTTAGCCCAGAACTCTGATTTGTCTTTGGATTCAAGTTCTGTGTTTAGCATTGCGCAGGTCCTGCATGTGTTGAATGAATATGCTGTGTGAAGCTAAGAAGACTAGTTTAACCCCACAACACTATCAAGGACAGCAGCAGCATATGTTTTCGCAGTATTCAAAACCAACAGCAAGAAAATCAAGAGCCTAAAACAACCTGACTTTTACTATTAATTTTGTAAAGAACTAATTCAATACAAAAATTTAAGTTGTGGGTAAGATTATATTAATAATTTTATATATCTCAACATACGCATTTTGGGTTGAAGTGATTGTTTACAGAATTAAAGGAAAGATACCCTTTTTCTTAAATGAGTGCGTGGATGCTTGTGTACTGTTGTCCGGGGGTACAGTAGTGTGCGGTGAATCTAGAGTTGAAATGTATTGGAAGGGTACAGTAATTTATTAACAAAAAGACAAATTAAAAAAATGATCTAAAGAAATTTTTTATTTTTTAATTCTAAGAGATAAAACTCCTTTTTATTTTTATTTTTATTTTTAGTTTTGAGATAGGTTAAAAAAGAAAATTTGAGTCTAAAAGTAACAGACTTAATCAAAGTTGAAGTTAATTATATTTTACTGCTGAAAGTCTATAGGCTAAATGAGATGTTTTATCATTAATCAAACTAATGAAGATATTTAGAAGTTATTTGTTTTACCATTCACCCAATGCTTCGAAGATAGCTTAGTATTCTTGTTTGATAAATCACCTAAAGTTATGAACTCTTTGCATTTATATTTCATTAACATTGATTGGACCAACTTTCTCGAAGCTTAAATTACACCAAAAATGAATTCTTTTATTTTTTTTGTATAACCTGAAAGGTATCCTTATTCAATCTCCTTCGGTCATTTTATCCTCGGAGTACGGTCCGAAAGCTATTCGTCATTGGAACAATGAGTGCATTAAATTTCTTTACCGGAGGAAGGATGAAACTAATCTCCCATCAAGGAGAGAGGCACGTCCACTAACCCTTAAATTTTTTTCAAGAATTTGCTTGAGACAAGATTTGAATCCTGAGACAAGCAAACTCTAACAAGCTTAAATTACACCAAAAATGAATTCTTTATTTTACATAGTTCTTAGTTACCTTAGGTGAAACAAAAAGGATTGGTTTCTCCTATAAAAACTGGACAAGAAACAAACATCAATATACAGTTTTTCCTTTAACATGTAAACTTAAATGACACAAAAGAAAAATGCAATAAAAGAGAACTTACCTTAAACAAGTCAAGATGTAAGACACTAGGACTAAAAGACATGCATTTCCTTAAACCTTAGGATTCCCTTTTATCTGCTACCATTGATTCTATGAAACTAAGCTAAAACAGCTACAGGGCAACTCTCCTTTGGCGAGTTAATGACACTGAGCTTTGGTAGCTCTGCACATAGATCCAATAATACTGACTTTACTTGCCAGGAGAGAGATGCCCTATTGCTGATTTGCTTATTGATGAAGTTTTCAACTTGGAATTGGTGCTTGTTCCTTGAGCTGCTCCTGATTTGTGTGTGTGACACTTGAGAAGTTTTTATAGCAAAGAAGATGGAATAAACCACTGAAACATTGGCATATGCTTAGGGGTTATGCCATGGATATCCACTAACTGCTGACATTTGTTCAGTTTTGATGCTCATAAATTGCAGATTCCTAATAGCGAAGGGTCACAAAGCTTTTTTGGTCCGTACAAGTTACAACCATTTCAGATTCTTATGTACTTTAAAGAAGAGAAGTGGAGAGAAGAAGTTGTGACCAAAATCAGGGTATTTAATTTTTAATCATATCAAAGATGCCGAGTGAGATTGCCCTCTTAAGCACAAGGGTCTTATACCTCATCTTTTTGCCTTTCTTTTTCTCTCTTTGTGTTTGCTTTAAATGTCTCCTAGTTCGGCAGGTTTTGGGTTTTCCTTTTTATTTCTCTATTATGCCTTTTAATTTCAAACATGTTATCCTTTGTAGATTTTTATAGCCCGTTTCAAGATTTCCTTGGCAAAGTTGATTTGGCCCTCAATTTTGTCTCCGTTTGCAGTACAGCTTGCTAAGGCAACTTTTTTCATATTATCATCTATGATTGCTTGTCTTTTATAATATCTGGTTCAGTAAATAGATCATTTATATTATTTTGTAATCTATCAAGAATGCCTCATACCATATCACATATAAAAGTTAGTACATAGAATGTGACAGACAATTAGGAGGATATTCCTAATTATTCCTGCAATTTTATAATTCTATTAACAGTTCTACTATATTTTAAACAAAGAGTAACACAAAAGAGAATAAAACTTATAGTTTAATGTGCTCACAGTCATAGAACTTTCATTCACAAGATATGTATCAAAGTTTTATTGCTCATATGTATTCTGTACTTTCTGAACCTGGACAATTGTAAGATAACTTTTAATGTGCAGTTTCTTTTATATTATTGGTGGATTAATATAGATAAAACATGAACAATTTGGGTGACTATATGTAGATATAATTCATGTTTTGGCAAAACATATATGCTAAAATTATAAAATCTTGCCAAATAAGGCATGAAAGGTTGTCGAGCTGTGGAATGTTGAGCAGATGTAATTTCATAAGCAAATCTTTTTTACTTCTTGCCACGCCCTTTTCCACTAT